ACATCTTATTGTTCCATACTTTCCTAACAGAGCACTTCACTCTCAGACTGCAGGTTTACTTGTGGTTCCTTTCCTTTTTGATAAATCCTATAGTTAGACTTAGGTTTCCTGAATTATTCTTCATTTCTGCTGCTATAGACTTAGACTGCTGGAGCACAAACAGAGCCACATTTCCTCACTCTGCTGCTGTCTTTAGTCTCTCTTCTCTACATGTTTATTGTAATTATTTTTATCAATAACATGTTTCTTTGTCTCTTCGAGAGGTAAATACACTTGGACCAGTCCTGGACCAGTTCTTCTGTGTTTATCTGTGTCTCTTTCCTGTCTCCCCAACCCTCCTAAACAGACAAAGTTTAAAAGTAAACTCAACCAGGAACAACCTAAACTATTAATTATATTTTATAACAAATGTTACAACACTTTTTTTTACTGGTGACATCACAAAATTATGAATATAGAGCCAACAAACAAGCTGGTGTGAAACACAAACCTGGGTCATGGGGCTAATTTTGTCCCACTCGTTCTTCTGAGGACTGTAAACATCAACCTCTGCGGAGTCATCTCTGCAAATAGAAACAGACTGGAGTCACGTTGCTACAAAAACACCGTTTCATCAGCGCCATCACCAGCTTCAAGACACCCTGTGCCAGATGCAGCAAAGCAGCAAAGAGCTGCCTCCATGTTTCACAGTAGGGACAGTGTTGTTTTCTTYATGTGCTTCACTTTTCCCTCAGTCAACATACAGCTCATGTGTCTTGCCAAAAGTTCCATTTTTGTCTCATCTGTCCCACAGCAAAATCCAAAGTGTTAATTTAACTCACAGACTGTAAATTTAACACTTTTTCTGACTTTACATAATTATCATAGATTGAGTTAAAATTACACTTTGAAAAGTGTTAAAATTTAACACTTTTACATTGTAAATATTCACGCTTTAATCGTGTTAATATTTGACATCCACTGGTGTTCTTTTACGACACCACATAAGTGCACTTTTAACTCAAATTTGTGTAATTCTCTTTCACTGTTAGTGTTAAACTTTTAACACGCATCTGGGGCCTCATGTACAAAGACATGCGTGGATTTCTTACTGAAACCTGACGTACGGTCAAATCCAGAAAACAGCGTACGCACAAATACATCCAGATGTATCAAACTGTGCGTACGCCGGATCCTCGCTGTGTTGCGCTCCAGAGCACAGCAGTGCCAAACTGAAAAATGATTTTTCCTGAAAACAACTGATGAGCCACTCRTAGGCCTGTCACGATAACAAATTTTGCTGGGCGATTAATTGTCTCAAAATTTATTGCGATAAACGATAATATTGCCTGGTGACCGTTTTACAACTAATAATTATAAAAGCGTAATGTGTAAGTGTAATAAATC